ATCTTCGGAATCTTATTCAATCTTCCTTGACATCCTCCAACACCTCGAGTATTTTACATGTTGATGAATCGGCATTGCTATGTATTATTCAAATTTGTTGAAGCTTTTATATTCTACTTTCCACGAGGATTTCTCTGTATAATGCCAAAATCTGATATGAACTTCTAAATAAAGCTCTTTCTCTTGATCATAAATGATGTGCTTGCCTGCATTGACGTGGATTAGTAGGGAAATCTCAATTCATTGGGTACTTGGTTCTGGATATGTCACCTATATAAGTTAAGAAGAAACATAAGGCGAGGTTGGATTTTATGTTTGGGTTGATGGATACATTTTAATTTTTTTGATAGGGATGGATACATTTTAATCAAAAATGGATGATGAGGTTAAGCCTATGTTTGGCCTCCATTTTTCCAAAAACTCATTTTCAACCATATATTTTCCCATAAAATAATCTTACATGTAAACCCCAGAACTTTTTCTTATTTTTAAACCAAACATTCTCCAAAAAATCTCTATTCAAAGAAATGTATAGTGGTCCACACTTTCATTTTAAGGTTTCATACACTTCCCAGTAAAAGAGGGTTCTTATTTGAAATCCTGAGTTGAATGAATTTGATGATTAAATTTCATTTTTTCCCAGGTAAAAGGAATAGTTCTACTGTGAAGATGTATCCCTCTGAAATTTGAACTTAGATATAAGGAAACCACATGATGAAATGAAAATTGAATGGGTTCTCAAAATTTATATTTTCTTAAAGACGCGTGCACACCAGGTGACTCTTATTCTGGACAATGAAAGTGGAAAGAAAATAGTATATATCTTGCATGCTTGGATTACATAGAAAATGAGTTTTCTTTTTCACTCTGTAACTTTTTGACGATGAACATAGGTGAGTCCTTGTATGGAGCGAGCAGTTTTGGATCACCTTGCTGGCTATTTTGAAACAAGGCTTGCTGGTTACCCTACTACTGTTGTTGAAGATGAGGCTTTGGTAACCTTCCTTCAATTTCTTCAATAATTTGAATTTCATTATGATCTGTTCAATCTATATCTTTCACTTATTATAGCTGGCAGATTGTAATTTGAATCCAAAAAGACGAGTAGCCACACAACTTGTCAGGTTGGAGAAGAAAATTTTGAATGCATGTTTGCAGGCCACAGTAGACCTGATAAACCAGTTACCTGATCATTCTGTATCCCCATGTCCAGCTCCTTATGCCCCAAGTTTGAAATAGGTCTCTCATCTCTCTCCGCATCATGCTATATTTCGTCATTGTATTTGGTTGTCATTCATTTCTAAATGAGATAATCATACCTCAGGTAGAACCAATCTATATCATGATCCTTTTACTGTTGAGGAATGCCGCACTCTTTGTCTAAATGGGCAGAAATAAACAAGGTTGGTGAAGTCAAACCTTTTATCATCCTATTTTTATTGCTTTGTAAGAGTATAATTTCATACTACGTGTCAGTTCATATGGAATCACGATTCTCATACGTGATTACTTTTTAACATTAAATTAAAAAAAAAAAGAGATCCATTTTTAGTTCAAGAATTAAAAAGAACGTTCCCCTTTATGTCTGCAGAACTCGCTTTTTCACTTGTCAAAACTCATAGATACATGTCTTCTAGATTATAATCAAAGAGAAGTTTGAAAAACTGTGATACAAATTTGTTTGGCGTTTGTGCTTGCTTTGATATTTGTTACAATTTTTTGGTATGATAACCTTTTTAGTATCAGGATATTATGGAGAAGAAAGAAACTTTTTAATCTTTCTTGGAAGATATATAATTATATAATTCTAAATACTAACATTTTCTTGGATGGTAGTTGGTTAGAAATTAATAGTGAACTTATACACATTGAACGATTTATTTAATTTTTTTCTTGGCAATTTTTGGGAAAATTCTAGTGAAGTGATAGATCAAGGTTTATGACAACAACAAGCTAAGCCCCATCTTTCACAAATTTGGGGTTGGCTACATAAATTAGTATTAACCACTTCATTTGATGCTCGTTGTACTATTGGAAGATCCATCGAGACCTCAATCCTTCCCAACTACATCATGCCATATTAATTTTGGTCTACCTCTTCCTTGTTAGTAATTTTGGTTTACCTTTCCCTCGTTTAACATTTTCTGCTCAGATCACATCATCTGAAGTCAATGTAAGAACTGTCCAAATGATCTAAGTCATAGTTTGTCTAGTAATCATTAACCTTATAGGTATTTTTTAACCAACTTGCGATAATCCTATGTGTTACATAGTCCTCATTCAAAGTTAATAATGGAACCAAAATACTTAAAAGCACTCACATTTTTGGACAGCATGATTCTCTACTGTGACTCCACTATCATATTTGTTCACTAAAGGATGTTTCACGTATCTATTCTAGTTCTACTTAACCTTAACTTTCAGATTTCAAAGTACTACTCCAAAGTTCTCATGATCTAAAAGACCCTTTTTTTATGTATTATCAACAAATATCATATAGTGAATATCACCTTGGATACATCTCATAAACTCCTCGACAACTAAAGCAAAAAGTTAAGGGAGATAAAACCATGATTCAAGCAAATTCTCGACTATATGCTCACAACTGCTTATCATACACGTTAGATGATGCCTAATTATTAAATTAAGGTCTAAATATTTATAAATTGCAATAGACATTATAAAAAATTCATCATTGGATCACTATTTATTTGAATTCTAATATTAACAATTTTGCTGTTATTTGTTTCCAGTGGTAACTTGTAAGCTTACTTAGAATGGTGAAGTTATAAAATTACACCTATAAGGCTATAACAACAAAAATAAAGAAGAAAAATTATCGTCATTTTTTCAACAAGTGATGGGAGTATTAAGAAATTTGTTTAGAGCAGTTATATGCAGAAATTACGTGGCATTCCTAGATGTCAAAGTAGAAATTTACAGTTAATTTATCATGTGAATGCATGGAGTAAAACATATTGACTCCTCATTTTATTAGTCAACATAAACCCAACTTGTCATAGCAAACAAGAAAAAGACTGATCATAGCAAAAAAGAAAAGATTATGATCACAATCTAAAAGGATGCTTACACCACCGGTAGCTTTTTTCTCTCCACTTGGTAGAGATTTATTTTATGTTCAGTTCATAAAATCAAACTCCAATTGTGCTTCAACATCCTCCACAGAGTTCCTAAGCTGTCTCTGAGTGTGTGTTCAAGATCCAACCAAACATATCCTCATCCTGCTCAAAAGCCCAAGGGACCTGCCACATTTCCTCATCCCCTGAAGTTTCGAACCAGTTTTCCAACCCTACTAAACTCTCTTTGCTGCTCTCTAACACGGCTGTGCTCTTCAAATTGATCTCCATGTCCATGGGACACTTGAGCCATTTTTTCACATGCTCATCAGCATCAGGCCAGCCATTCCAAATAGCTGGATTCTCACTCTCCAGCAAGCTACTCAACGAAAGTGCATTATAATTTATGATGCTCTCTTCATATATATCACAGTCATCTAATTTTTCTATCATTCCCAGCTCTTCAAAGTACTTCATATCTAAGTCTGTTTCCTGCATCATAGTCTGGGGCATAGCTTTTTCCTTAGCAGAATTTGTGCTTACCTCATTCATCTCAGTGTTATGTTCATGGATATCCATTACAGTAGGAAGCCCCTTTGAGTTATCCGCTTGACTCTTCTGGTTTTCATTCCCTTTGTTCGAAACTTTCATATCCTGTCTCTCCATATTCGCTCACAAAAGAAAAGCAGAGGGGGAGAGTAAATAAAGGGGTGGAGAGAGGAGTATATAACCTTTAATGAAGGGCGAGAATTCTGAGGCGTATCTGACTATATATGGTTAGTTGAGAAATGACGTTAGTTAGTAACAGCTGGCAAGCCTGAACAGATTGACGCACCAGGTATACAAGCGTCAGTGACCACCGTTTAATGAGTTAGTTTATTTCCTTTTCTCACATGATTTTCCTGTTGCAAAGTGGAAAACACTGTGCAAAACAGAAGGTAATACTCAATCTTATCACTTCTTATGGTAGGTGTCATGACTATTATAAGAGCGAGATTCACGGTTATAGCATTGAATTAATTGATGGTAATCTACATGGTTTATGGGGAAATCTAAAGTGTGGGCAAATGAGTATTTTTGGAAGTTTCTCAAGTTCTTGTGAGGTGTTTTTGTCTGGGAGTCATGGCAGATTGGGTGCAAATGTTGAGTGTTCTAACAAGGGTGTCCTCAACTAAGATTTTAATGGATTTTAAAAATCCTTCTACATTCAGGTGTCTGTGTCCCCAATTGAGATTTTAATAGATTTTTTGCCTAATGGGTCCTTCAGAATTTTTTTAGGTGGCAGTAGTAGGCATTACAGATTTTGACAGCTCTAAACCAGTAGCATATCCTCACATTGAAACCGGCAGCTCCTGCAATTGATTCTTTAAGTAATTATGAAGACAAGTAAATACTAAGAGTTGGATGATGATTTAAGCTTACAGTATCCAAGAGTTGAAATATTTCCAATTACACTAATTATCGAACACATCAAATTCTTATATTAGATCTTCTTGTAATCCTTGTTGTGATGATTGGAGTTAATGATAAATTTTTTCGTCTTTCCGTTAAGTATGAAAGTAGTTTGTTTCTTTTTATCCAGTCAAGGTTCAAGGCAAAATTTTGTAAAACACGGACATTTTTCTGGTAGTTTTTTTATTTGGGAGACCTGTCGATCCCATTCCTTACTATAGTTTGTTACTGAATTAGGTAGCTTTTTGCCGACTGAAGTAGGAGCTTATGACAATGTTACTGTTTTATATATTTATGCTGGAAATATAACTTTTTTATTTCAGATTTTACACAAGTCTTAAATGAAAATTGTGGAGGAATCATGAAAATGATGCTTATGTATTATAATGGGATAAAGAGACTTGGGCAACTTGGTGAAATAACATGCCGCACACTACCTCATCCCAAGGCAAAATATATACCTAATTTAGTCCTATTTTTCCCTTCTTTTTTCTTTTTTAGTTCGTTGATGGTTGACAGTGTAGAATTTAACATTAATTTACTCTAAATGTACATTACTTGCATGTAGGCTCCATAATAGCTCCTTGCAGAAAACCGTCCTGTCCATCAATGAGAGTAGTTGATTTTCATGAGTTGTTGACAGTCAGTTGCTCAAGGCACTGGTCAGACTAGATTTTTTTCCACAGAAAACTGTAAAAACGACTTCGAATTATCAATTTGGTTTACTGATACTTCATCATGGTTGCATTGCCACCCTATTTGCCACATACACCGTGCAGAACTCTCATAGTGGTTTCTCCTTATCTTTTTATCAGAAGCATTCTTTTGTTCTATTATTCTTGTTAGAAGCACATTCCTGCCACGTAAAACTTTTTAATTTTGTAACTTATTATTAACCGTTTTGTTTTTTAAGGAAGGTGGATTTTGTAGCCTGGGTAGTGACAAAGCAACCAATGAACGTGACTGTATTTATTAGTTGGCATGGTAGTAGTGAAAATGGATATGCTTGTGGCCGTGCATGTTATGTACAATCTGATCCCACTTGAGTTTTGATTTCAGATTCTGTGACTTTGAATTGTACAAAGAGATCCTATTTAATTGCCAAGTACAATGTAAATACTGTCAGTAATCAATATGTTCTAAGATTATGCTGGAGGAGCAATTGAATTATAATCTTGCATATAGACTAATGACCTATTTACCTGCGAAATTCGCTTACAAAATTTCTTACCCTCTTGCAGAGAGGGAGCCATAGATGTGACCCATGAGACTTTCTTATGTTGGAACAAAATTTCTTAGTTGTTAGTGTGCTTAAAATACGATAAGACCGAGTTTTGATTGGTCTGAACTCTGAAGTCGTTATCTTGTCTGTTTCATTATTGCTTCAAGACTGGATTGTTTAGAGTCCAGTGCTCCTATTTTAAATAGAAAAACAGTTTTGTTACACTTATATCCTGGTTGATATTTCATGATGTGGTAATCAATTTTGCCATTGATTTCTCCAACATTTATTTAAATCAATGGCTTCGATTTTTACACCTAATGGAATGTCATTCAAGATGTACACATTGATTGTACAAATAGATCAATCATAGGAAAAAAATTGTTGCAATAGGGTTAGCAGGTAGTAGCAACATCGCTCCCAACCTAAGATTTAGTAAACTCATCGTAAACGTCAACCTAACTCTTGTTTGGTCCGGATTAAAATCTGATTTTAATTCAAGTTAAAGTCAAATAATCAATATTATTTACATCTTTCATGGGTCTTACAACTTTTTAACGACACATTTCAAAAACTTCTATCAAAACCTACTAAAAATCTAATTTTAATCCCTACCAATAATAAAAGTGCATTCTTGAGTCTTGATA